GACAAGTATCATATGATCTCACTGATATGAGGAATTTGAGAAACAAGACAGAGGATCATAGGGGAAGGGAGGAAAAAATGAAATAAGATGAAACCAGAGAGGGAGACAAACCGTAAGAGACGCTTAATCTCACGAAACAAACTGAGGGTTGCTGGAGTGGTAGGGGGATGGGAGAGATGGGGTGGTTGGGTGATGGACATTGGGGAAGTTATGTGCTATGGTGAGTGCTGTGAATTGTGTAAGACTGATGAATCACAGACCTGTACCTCTGAAACATAATACATTATATGTTAATAAAAAAAAAAGAAGATAGAAGGAAGGGAAAAATGAAGGGGGGGAATCGGAGGGGGAGACGAACCATGAGAGACTATGGACTCTGAGAAACAAACGGAGGGTTTTAGAGCGGAGGGGGGTGGGGGGATGGGTATTAAGGAGGGGACGTATTGCATGGAGCACTGGGTGTTATATGCAAACAATGAATCATGGAACACTACATCAGAAACTAATGATGTAACGTATGGTGACTAACATAACATAATAAAACTAAAAAAAAAAAAAAGGAAAGCACCGACTACAACTGCCAATAATGAATCAGATCAACGGCCATCGTTCCTCCAGTCAGCCTTCTGAAGGGAAGGATGCTTTAATGCCAGCACTAATTTCATCCTGTACTAAACCAAAACCATAGTCCGGGTTTTCTACATAACTTCCCAGGTGACTTGCTACATTCTAAAGAAAATCACACAAGTAGCTAAGCTAACTCGGGGTAATTACAAACTTTGAAGAGAAGCAAGTAACACTCATCTTAGGAAAGTAAGAAAGAAGGAAAATAGAGTGGAGAGTGGAGAGGACAAATAAGCAGCAATTCTTGCCCCGTTCCTTTCCCGCCTATCATAAGTAAGTCCGATTAAAGAAACCATTCCTTTCCTGTAAAAAGCTGAGTATTTAACTGTGCATAACATCAATCAAAACCACTCACAGGCTGGTTGATATGAAATCTTGTGGGCATTCTTCTCATGATGGCTGAGTCAAGATCCTGAGGACGGTTAGTAGCTCCCATCACTATGACCTGGGCAGATAAAGAAAACACAAGGTATTACATCTACCAGTAATGGCTCCTTCAGGATATTATTACTAGAGCTTAGAAGATACAAAAATTAAGGAGTGTTTAAATCTTCTATAAGAAATTATTTTAATCCAGTATTACTCAAAAATTTATAAATACAAATCAAAGTTAATCCTAAATAGATCAAATCATAGCAAAGCTGGTAAGACTGATGCATTTCACCAGCCTTTCGTAACTAAAATAACATGCTGTTCAGTTAACGAAGAATTATAAAGATTTAAAGTAAAAAAGGTAGTATTTTGCGGTACATGGTTCTCTACGGCTGCATGATGAATAACTAAGAGTCATGTATGTTACAGCTTGGGAGGCTATATAGGGGGTACTAAAAGTCCTTTGATATTAATATAAAGGAATCATTTCCCCCGAGTCTGAGGATTCTGGCGATAAGAAGAGATAACTGTGTACTTTTCCCTCTAGATTTCACATCACCATTTCACGGCATTTATCAGCACTGCTGGTGACATCTTCTCAATGATATAATACAACCTCAAGCGATCAAACTTTCAACAAGGGCAAGAGAATAAGAGCAAACATCAAACCTAAGAGCAAACATCAAAATGCTGGGTAGAATTTAAAAAAAGAAAAAAGAATGGGGTGCCTGGCTGGCTCAGTCAGTGGACAGTGCAACTCTTGATCTTGGGGTCATGTGTTCTCTACCCAACGTGTAGAGATTACTAAAAAAAAAAAAAAAAATTAAAAAAAAAGGGAAGAAGAAAAGAAAATGCAATCTCTGGATCTATATCATTTTCTTTATAAAGGATGTGGACATGAAAAATCAACACAAATAAAGACAAAATATCCAAAACAAGTTAATTTCTGAAAGGCTTCAATATTACCGTTACTGTTGGTATTTCTGTATAACCCAATAATGGCCCACATCTGCTACCCAAAATCAAATTTACTGGTATTCTAATGAAAACTTTTAATATAATTTTATTTCAGCCTAAGGGGTTTTAGATTTCTGAAATAATCTAACTCCAGAACATGTTGAAAGACCCACTAAATCTTATATTCTACTTCTACTCTTTACATTTAATGACATTCAAGAGCCAAATTATTTTCAATTTAACTGTGAGAGGTTGCCACCTAGAGGGAAAAAATGTAAATACAAGCATAAATTTGAGAAATGTTAGTTCCACAATGCAATTTTGTATTTAAGTTGTCCTAAAATAAAAATATTAATGCTCTTATTTTTCCAATTTACTGACTTTCTTTTTTTTTTTTAAATTTTTATTTATTTATTTGACAGAGAGAGACACAGTGAGAGAGGGAACACAAGCAGGGGGAGTGGAAGAGGGAGAAGCAGGCTTCCTGCTGAGCAGAGAGCCCGATGTGGGGCTCGATCCCAGGATCCCGGAACCATGACCTGAGCCGAAGGCAGGCGCTCAACGACTGAGCCACCCAGGCGCCCCAATTTACTGACTTTCTACAACCCTAGAAAATAAGTAAAATTTCTATGAAATGTAAAACAAAAAATTTTTTTTTTCTTTTTAACGTAGGATCCATGCCCAGCTTTACGCAAAGCCGAACTAGGGGCTTGAACTCACGAACCTGAGATCAAATCCTGGGCTGAGATCAAGAGTTGACCGCTTAACTGAGTGAGCCACCCAGGCGCCCCAAGACAAAAAATAGTCTTAAAAATGATCAAAGGAACTGCGTAAGATAAAGAATGAATATAAGTACATTTTGAGATAGAGCATACTTTAAGTGTTAAAAGAGTTTCAAAGTGGGAAGCTTGTGGAAGACTGGACATATCAGATTGTAGAGAATCACAAAAGACATTGTGGCTGAGACAGTACTTTAAAAAACCTGAAAAATGGGCTGTATTTTGAGAAACATTCTAGGTGAACAAACAGCCTTTTAAAAAACAAAAGCCAGTATGGAAGATAGGATGCTAAAAATTAGGATCAAGGAATTTAAATAAATCTAGCACAACATGATGTAACAAATACATATAGGATGGTAACAGATATTCACGATGATAAAAAAGCAAGAGTGATTCAAACTACCTGTTTCACTTAAAGAAGTTTGTTTTTTTTTTTTTTAAAGATTTTATTTATTCGACAGAACGAGAGAGCAGGAGAGCACTAGCAGTGGAAGCCGCAGAGGGAGAGGGAGAAGCAGGCCCCCTGCCGAGCAGGGAGCCCAATGCGGGGCTCAATCCCAGGACCCTGGGACCATGACCTGAACCGAAGGCAAGTTGCCTAACCAACTGAGCCACCAAGGCACCCCAAAGAAGTTATTTTAAGGAGCGATTATAAGAGGCAAAAACGGATAAACTGTACACAATACGTTAACTCAGTGCAACTGAGCTAAAATTCAAAATGGGAAGAAACAGTAATTTTTTAGTATTTAAGCAGAAAAATTAGCACTTTAGTAGATTTTTAGAATCTTTATGTCTCATGTCTCTGCAGATGAAGAACATGTCATCAGTTAACCTGGATTTCCAGAACTGGTGACAGGTTGACTTGGGCCACTCAGCGATTTTTGTTTCCACTGTGGCATATCATACACACAAGAAAAAGCTGGGGTACTGGGCTGGATCCATAATAATAGACAATTTTAGAGAAAAACTAACTGGTTCATATGAAAGAATATGTCTAAAACTAATATTCAAGTTAACAATATCAAATTTAATCCCCTCAACACACAGAAAAGGTAAAAAAAATTGTTACCAGAGTTTAACAAAAGCCACATCTTTATTTGCTCCTACAAATATAGATTTATCACAACGAAAATAGTGAACACTGTCAGTGTAATGAAGAATTGTGGTTCTGAAAGCTCAGTTTTAAGTTGTACTGTATCAGACCCGTGCTGTGTGGCTCTGGAGTATACTTGATCCAATTGCTACTATTTCCATGACTTTCAAAACTACACTCTGTTACGATATAATATGAAACAATTTTCTCTTACATGGCTAACTAAGTGCTTTAAATACTGTTGCTCAGGAGGATAATCAGTGTTTGGAAACCTATAAAGTATTACCATTGAACAGCTTTATAAGCATCAATTATTAATAAAAATTATTCCTATTAATGTCACCTAAATTTATCTAAGTTGTGCTTTCTCTAATCATCCAACAAACACTAAAGGAACTTTCCTTCATAATGAAATTGTGTTTTCATAAAGGGGATGTAAAAGGAGGACACGTGGCTTAATGTTCTCCTTGAGGAGAATGTTTTAACTTTTGATTTATGGTAATGTGGTGGGCGTAGGAGATCCTTAAACCCGCCGGCTATAAAACGAAAATAATGAAGTATAAAAAACCTCAAATTAATCAACAAATCTGCAAAAATGTAAAGGAACTGAGCTGAGCAAGCAGTGAAGTCTATGCATAAGGGAAGTAATAAGCAAGGGGAGAAGGTCACCATGTACCACGTGGAAATGTACAGATCTTAGACAGTGGGGTATACACTGGACACCTTACAGGCTTAAAGAGACCACCCTACATAAAGCTGGGACTCATGAAGTACTAGGTCCTGAAAAAAGTGGTGAAATATTAGAAAACACATTCAGGAGAGTCAAGCTTTGGTTCTTGTAAAGACATATAAACACATAAACACACACACACAATCTGAGATTTCAGGTTCTTCACCAGCTAACATGGATCTTGGATCTGAATCTACCTATTGGTATTGAAAAAAATCTGGCAGAAGACAAATACAAAATCCTCTTTGGGCCGTGTGGGCCATAAACCTTCAACACAAGTTCCAAAAATTCAAACAGAAAGTTTTACCAAATATGATTTTTCCTACGAAATCACAAAACACACAAGGGAATAGCCACCATAAACTCAGAACAAATGACAGAACCAGATGTGCAGTCATAGGTTAGAATTGTTGGATACAACTATAAAATTAGTATTTTAACACATTTAAAAGAATAAAGAAGGTATCAGAAAAATCATAAGTAAATACTTATGCAGTAAATATATACCGGGCAAGCTAAAAGCACTTTACTCAGATTCCTTGAAACCCTACAACGGTTCTGAGGTGGATCCTACCCATCCCCTTTTATAGACAGTTCTCCCTCCTTTCAGATACAGAGTGACTGTATTATTTGGCCAAGGTCACACAGCTAGTTGATCCCAGGGCTTTAGTTTTCTAATCGAGTAGGAAACATGAGTTGATGGGGAAGAGCCCATCAAAACTGACCCGGCAGACTTCAAGAAGGATTTAAAAGAATTTCCAGAACTGGCGGGGGAAATAAAAAAAAAAGAATTTCTAGAACTGAAAAATATAATAAGTGAAATAACAAGCTCAATAAAAAGATTAAATAGCAGAAGAGATACAACTGAACCTAGAATTAGCAAATTAAAAGAAGTAAAAGATTACCCAGACTGTAGCACAGAGAGAGAAAAAATATGAAAGAGAAGTTAAAACACATGGAATATAAGTAAGGTACATCCAATTGGCATTCCATAAGGAGATCCCATGGGGAATGGAGGGGAAACAATATTGGAAGAAATAATGGTTGAATTTTTTAGAAGTGATAAAAGAAATAATTCTAAATATGAAAGGGCAAAAACAGATCACAAAATAGAAAATACCTACTAAAGTTAAAACAGCAAAACACCATCATTAACTTTTCCAGTACTCTTCCATGTGATATAAAATAGGTGATTCATGAAAAAAACAAAAAACAAGAACAGAAAAGTGTTTCTAGAACTTCCATTTCCAGTATTAATGGCAGAAAAACAAACATGCCAGGTGAATTTTTTTAAAATTTTCTTTTAAAATACATTATTGTTCTGGCAAGAAAGTATGGAACATTCAGAGGCGAAGAACTAAGAGAAAATGGGAACCCCGAGAGGTAAACTGAATCACACAGGTGCATTCCCTTCGGGGTATACCAAAGGACCTAGTTCTGGTGCTCACAGCCCTGCAGGGAGAACAGACAAGGCCCAGGCTAGAAGACTGTCTTTTATAAAATTGGATCCTGAGAAAGGTGCATATGGCAGGAAGTGGGAAAGTGTGTATGTTCCAGCAACTAATGAAAACAGCAAAAGGAAACGAAGGTCAGTGACAGAAGAATGGAGAATAAAGATTTATGGTAAGGGTCTAAGAAACGCTCATACAGGACCCACAGCCACTAGGAAGAGTCTAAAAACTCCAAGGAGAGGCTTTACCCTGGTTTTCTCTTCTCTGTTGTATTTGTTTCAGGCACTAACACTTTCTTTAACATGAAGCCCTCAAAATGGATGAAAATGTGCACAAATCATGCTTTCAGATCCCCATCACTTAATAAGTATAAATAGTTATTAAAAAAAAAAAAACACTTTTCTAAAAAAGCCTATGAAGTAGCCCAGCGAATTTTCTCTTTCCCACCCCCCACCCTCCGCCACGAGCTTGCAACAGATTTCTTTCACACACCTGGCAGCTGTGATCAGTGTCCAGTCCATCCCACAGACTCATAAACTGAGCTTTCATCATGGCTGTGGCTTCATGGTCAGAACTTGAACGGTTTCTCAGAAAGGAGTCTAGAAGGAAAAAGTCCTCAACCTTAGAAATACTGAATTATTTACTCTTCCTATAACTTCAAATCCTTAATCAAAAGCTGACAACTTTGTGAAAGAGTACAAGAAAAAGAGTTCAATGATGCCTTTTCACACATTAGTCTGATACAATAATTCTGGCAAATAACTGGGCAAATTAAAACACAATCAACTCCCAATCTTCATTTCTTTGCTAAAAATACTTTCATGCCAACATATTTAAAGTAGTACAGGATCTGGTACTGAGAGGCTGGAAGAAGATCAAGTAGTGTCTTGGAGGAAGGTCTGTGCGCTTTGGCCCTAACTTTCCAGGTTATCTGCATCCTATGTATTCTTAATTATGGGGTCGCATTCTTTTTCCTCACATAGTTTTCCTGGAAATAAAGAAAAATTACATTGGAAAATGTCAAAACACTACTAAGTGGGAAATGCGGGACAGAAAATGATTTCAAACACACATGCTAGCATGCATGTGTGTATACGTTATGTAATGTGAAAAAGCCTTTAATAAAGTACACCAAAGGGCACCTGGGTGGCTCAGTTGGTTGGGCGACTGCCTTCGGCTCAGGTCATGATCCTGGAGTCCCAGGATCGAGTCCTGCATCGGGCTCCCTGCTCAGCGGGGAGCCTGCTTCTCCCTCTGACCCTCCCCCTTCTCATGTGCTATCTCATTCTCTCTCTCAAATAAATAAATATCTTTAAAAAAAAAAGAAACCTGTCCCATCTAAAGGGGCAGCTGGAAAAAAAAAAAAGTACAACAAAACGCTAATTGCTTTAGTTCTTTCTCAGTCATAGACTTAAGGACAATTCAAATTTTCCCTTGAATTATTTTCTGTCTTCCCAATTATCTACAAAGAACATAAAATGCTTTTGAAAGGGGGAAAACATTTTCCTTCTAGAATGAGAAGACCTGGAAGACAGGACATCCTAAGAATGAAAAAAAGACAGTAAAAATAAATCCTGGATTGCCTAGTATAATCCTATTTCAAATGTTTTCTTATATCCCTTCAAATAAATGGCAGAATTCTGAGTACATTTTACATTTTAGCACTGAAACTACAACTTGAAGTCTGTCAATCTATATGTGCAAGTAGCACAGAAATGCTTTGCAAAGGTCCATCCAGGCTTTAAAAAAAAAAGTTGTTTTTTTTTTTTTAAGTAATTATGGCAAAACCACAATACCACAAGATGACAGAGTCTTCTGATGGCAAATATATATCCTGGATTTTCTTATGTAGTTCCAATTTTATACAGTCTGTCCCATTGTTGGGACTATGTACCAAACTAACCCATCTACTCTGGATGTAGAAAATGCTGTTTTTAAATTGCTTCTTTTTAAAGATAATATGTGTAAGGTACAGCCGCCTACCTAACCACCATAACTCTGCTATTAATTAGTCCTAAATTATCTTCATTACTAAGAAGCTGGTTCTGGCAAGACAGCTGCTTAAAATAATATGAAAAACTTAAAGTGCTGGGTAAGTATAAATAACCTAACCATATCCGTAATTACATTAAATGTAGACGGTCTTAGAGTACCCATGTACATGGTTAAGAAATTAGACTGGATTTAAAAAAAAACAAACAAAAAACAACAACCCAACTGTCTGCTGCTTACGAGATACACTTTGAACCTAAGAGCTCAGATGCTGAAAAGAATGGAAAAAGACATGTATGTAAATACTGACAACAAAGGTGGAAAAATGTATTATTTTAAACTTAATGCATTCATGACAAATGGTGCTAGAACAACTGGAAATCCATGTGCAAAAAAATATATCTAGACACAGACCTTATACTTTTTCACAAAAATTAACTCAAAATGGATTACAGATCTAAATGTAAAACACAAAACTATGAAACTTCTAGAAGATAATACAGGAGAAAATCTAGGTGACTTTGGGTTTGGTGATGAGTTTTTACATACAACACCAAAAGCATAATTGATCAAAGAAAAAGGATGGTTAAGTTGGACTTTATTAAAATTCTGAATAAAGAACCCCCCCAAAAAGAAAAAGAATTACAAATTCTGTCCTGTGGAAGACACTGTTAAGAGAAGAAATAAGCCACAAAATGGGAAAAAAGATTTATAAAATACCTATCTGATAAAAAAAACTGGTATCCAAAATATACAAAGAACACTTAAAATTCAACAATAAGAAAACAAGCCAGTTAAAGAATGGGCAAAAGATCTGAACACACACTTCACAGAAGATAACACAGATGGCAAATAAGCACATGAAAAGATGCTCAACATCATATGTCATTAGGAAACTGCAACTTTAAATAATAATGAGATACAACGACACACTTAATAGGATAGCTAAAATCCAAAAAACTGGTAATATCAAGTGATGGGAGAGGATGGTGAGCAACAGGACCTCTCAAATAAATGAGTGGAATTGCAAAATTGTATAGCCATTTTGGAAGGCAGTTTGGTAATTTCTTAGAAAGCTAAGCATAGTTTTACCATAAAATCTAGCAAATGCACACCTAGGTATTTACCCAATTGAGATGAAAATGTATGTCCACACAAAACCTTGCAAATCACTGCTGTTAGCAGCATTATTCATCACTGCCCCAAACTGGAAGCAAACAAGATGTCCTTCAATAGATGAATGGATAAACAGTGGTAAAACCATACAATGGAATATTACTCAGCAATAAAAACAAATGAGCCACCAAGCTACAAAAAGACCTGAAGAAACCTTAAAAGCATATTGCTAAGTGGAAGTAGCCATGTGAAAAGGCTCCATATTGTATGATTCCAAGTATGATATTCTGTAAAAGGTAAAGAGTAAAAAGATCAGTGGCTGCTGGGAGTTCAGGAGTTTAGGACAAGCAGGTGGAACACAGGGGATTTTCAGGGTGCCTGATACTATGGTAGACAGAGGACATTATGCATGTGTCAAAGCTTAGAGAACTGTAAACACAAAAAACGACCCTTAATATAAACTATGGACTTCAGTTACTAATAATGTATCAATACTGGCTCATATTTTTTTTTTTTTTTTTTGCTGGCTCATAAATTCTAACAAATATATTACACTAATGCAAAATAGTGATAATAGGGGAAACTCTGTGTGTGCAGGGGGAGGGAAGATGGAAATTCTCTGTACTTTCTTCTGCTCGATTTTTCTGTAAACTTAAAACTGTTCTAGGGGCAGCTGGATGGCTCAGTTGGCTGAGCCACCAACTGACTCTTGGTTTCGGCTCAGGTCGTGATCTCAGGGTGGTGAGACTGAGCTCCGTGTGGGGCTCCATGCTCAGCGGGGAATCGGCTTGAGATTCTCTCTCCCTCTCTGCGCTCTCTCTCAAATAAATAAATCAATCTAAAAAAGAAAAACTGTTCTAAAAAAACAAAGTCCAGTAATTTTTTAAAAAAGCTTAATGAGTACCTGAGATTGAAGGAAAAAAGGGGAAAAAAACCTCAAGAGTTCGGGAAAAGAGGAAGCAGGAAACAAGTGGTGAGAATGTGAGGTGATTATGCCACTGTGTGTGTGCGTTTGTGGACACAGCAGATATGCGTGTACAGCACTGGAAGGTTCTGCGTCAATGTTAATATCCACGCTGGAACCACGATGCTCAAAAGAATGCACACTCACAGAAAAAAATTCTGCTCACTACTACAGAGAGTTAAAGAAGTTTGTCTTGGTCTGGGCTCTGGGAATAAACAAGTCTCCCCTGAAAAATAAAAAACCAAGACCATAGGGCGGGGGGTCTCTCTCAGGCATGAAGTCTGGATTTGGACTGTCATTCATTCAGTCTAGAAACATCCAAGTTGAGAAATTATCATAAAAATTGGTCGTGAGTGATTAGACCCCACAGGCTCTCTGTGGAAGATAAGAAAACTACTCTTGATTGTTCTCAGGCAAGGAAGAATTCTCATATAAAAACACACTGTACGCTATCTAATGTCAGAAATGACCCAAGGAAACAAATTCGTATGAAAAGAGTTAACAATACAAAGGAGTAGAATTTCAGACCACAGAAAAAACAATCCAAAAAAAACTATATAAAAATGGTATGTTTAAAACTGAGACATAAAAGGGATTGAAATTCAAACAGAAGAGCAAACTATGGTGAAAAAAGATAAATCTGAAAAAGAATCAAACAGAACTTCTAAAGCTCAAATATCATTAACAGGATACACACCCAATGGTCGTGACATAAACACAGCCAAGCAAAGAACTGCTTTTTATACCTTACTCAAAGATTAACTGATTTTCAGTTGTACCATTATTTTATGCATCAACAAAGTTTTAAATGTTGTCAGTTATAATGTTAAAAGAAGAAAAAGCTGCCAATTATAACATGCTATCCCAATTTCAGAAAGGTTAAAATGTAAATGACAAAATGGTATATTTTAGAACTGATGAAATATGGTAGAGAACTCGATGATAAAACTGTGGAAATGACTCAAAATTAAGCAGAGGTGAAGTGGGTGTATGCACATTCATATATGTATATTTTTTACAAAATGTAAGTCTTGCAAAACCATAATCAAATAGGAGAACAAGATAAAAATCTAATAGCACTACAGAGAAAAGATAAATTACTTACAAAGAAATATCTGACTACAAGCAGAATTCTCAAAAGCAACAACAATGACTGGAAGACAATGGACTTGTAGCCTCAAAATAATGAAGAAAAATAATTCTCTATCATTTAAGAGTGAAGGTAGAATTAACACATTCTCATCCAAAGACAGAATTTACTGTATTCATGATCTTTGCTGAAAGAACTTTGACAGATTTTGGTTAAGAAGGAAATTAAATCCAGAAAAGGCAGGTGTTCAAGAAGCAACAGTGAGCAAACTGGCAAATGTGGGTCTCTAAACAAGTACCACCAGTGTACAAATAACAACCAGTATGGAGGATACAAAATAAGAGAAAATGTTAACATGTAAGAGATGAGTGGAATGATTAGTGTTTAAGAGTTGTAAGGTCCCTATATTATCTGGGAGGAGGACAGAAATGGTTAGCCTAGACTTTTAAGGCAAGTAGGTATGCTAAATGTTTCACTAAAAGAATACATAACTTCAAAAACTTAGGCAGGGTAAAGGAGATAAAGTAAAAAAAAAGTCCACTAGACTGGTAAATAAAAAGCACATAGTGATATAAGAGAAATATATCTAAATATATCAGCTAGCAAAATAAAGGCAATCTGACCACACCTCCTAGTTAAAGCATCTTAGATTAAAATCTTTAAAAATCTAGCTATTTGCACTTTTGTGCAAACTTCACACCCAAACTCCAAAACTGTTTCAATAAATTTTTGAGAGACACACACAAGGCAAACAAGTAACCAAAATACCATACACCTGTACCTATTTTTCTCTCTAGATTTCTATACAGCCTATCATATTACATAAAATAGTATAATTAATTCAAAGCTGTAGTTTTAATTGCTATAGCTTTACTATGACTCACCATACCAGGAACAGAACAAAAGTACTGATAATCCATAAAATACAGAAAAAGTGCACTAATATAAAAGTCATGACATATAGGGAAAAATGATCTATTTTATAAGTTGGTTGTCCATATGGAGAAGAATGAAATTAGATTCCTACTTCACACTATATATTTTAAAAAGAGGAATATTTATGGTGATAGTGAAGGGATTTGTAAGCCAGACACAAAAAGTATAAATAAGGAAAAAAGATGGATAAATACAACTGAATTTAAATCCCTGTAAAAGAAACTATCATAAAGTGAAAACACAAGTTTAGAAACTAGTTCAGTCTAGAAAATATTTGCAATCATAATAAACATCAACAAAGAATTACCTAGAAAATGCAAATAACCCCAAAGAAAAACTAGCAATTTAAAAGCAAGGAAACCCAAATGACTAGTCAACATGTCCAAAGATGCCCAAATTTGCTAGCAACACAGGGAAACACAAAACAACGATGAGATAATTCATGTTCTTTAAAGTGACAAAAAATCAATGATAATGTCTGAAAAAATAAATTTTAGGGAAACTATATAATGGTGAGAGTGGAAACAGGCATGAGTGAGGTTGAAGACAGACCTATCACACAACCTCATGGCTCAACTTCCAGGCATCTACCCTGGACAAACAGAGATGCGTAAGGAAACAGGTATGCGTTGTCATTGCGTGCTGCCTGTTAACAGGGAGAAGACAGAAAATTACTATCAAGTAAGGTCATGAACAGATTATGGTTCATTTTCTAATATGGAAATTTATACAGAGCATATATGGATGTTGGTTACCTATTTTGTTTTCTTAATTTGATCTAATAAATGTTAAAAACTAAATCCGGTCATCTAAATACCACCCTTGAGAATGGCGCTTTAAAATGCTCATATAGAAAGGTCGCATACCTATTTCATCTATAAAAATGATGGATGGCTGCAGCTTTATGGCAAGGGAGAAGACAGCAGCCGCCAGTTTCTGAGATTCTCCATACCACTTATCGGTCAGCGTTGAAGGCTGAAGGTTAATAAATCGACAGCCTGCTTCTTTGGCGGTAGCCTTGGCAATCAATGTTTTACCACAGCCTGGAGGCCCATAGAGAAGCACACCTGGAAATAAACATGTTATTTTATCATTTCCTTTAAGAGAACGGGGTATTTGCTTTAGCTTATGTGATAACCAACATAATATTAATGCTGCCTACACTAAAATTTTCCCCAGCATTCACTTGTTATTGATAATCTTTTTTGAATAGTAGAAAAGGAAGGCGCCACTTTCTTGAAGTTCAGTGTCAGTGATGACACATATTTGGGGTTATAATCATAGCACGCTTGTGTTTCCTCCCTTCATGGAAAGAAGACAATCACACTCCCGCCCCTTGACCAACAGCTGACAAAATGGTCTAACACCGCCCACCTTCACAAGCTAACAAAGCACAACAGCGCATCACCAGTAGCCCAGAGAAAACCGAGAACTTCTTCAGAACTGACTGCAGCCAACACTGTTTCACTGTTACTTGGCAAACTTAAGTTTTGGCCAAAAGGGCATGAGACTTTTCCCACCCAGATAAAGATCTCCTCTTAAAAGGAGCAAAAGCCGCCAGTCACTCCTGTTTTAATTTCCAAGGAATAAAACTGTATTATTAACCTAAAGTCTCCACTGACAGCAGTTTACTGCTTAATACAATTTAAGGTAATGCTTTTAATATGAGAAACTGGTCGAGGTCTTAAGCATTTTGGGAATCATCACCAACTGTTTTTCACCTAAAATGAGGAAACATGTTCGTAAGTTAATACTAAAATCCTGACCATAGGTCTGACAAAAATTGTAATCTACAGACTTAAATATCTGCTTAATTCAGAGCTTCTCTACTTTTCTCATGTAATTGCACTTAAAAAAACAGTCTTTACAGATGGCATGCTGGGGTAAAATGAAGAGGCTTTGGAGATTTCCAAAATATTCTTATTATATAATAAAAATAAAATACAAAATATAAGAAAAATAAATATTTTGTACTAAAGTCCCACCCTGCCCAAATTTTCTTTTTTTTTTAATGAGAAACTTGAGCTTGATTCCATAAAACTAACAAATTTTTTCACATCAAGCTCTTCAAAATAATGTTCAAACTTTTCTTCTGGCACACACAGATTTTTCTGGTCTTAAAAATTCTTTAAGATTCAACTAAGCCAAGTTTAATCATCTTAAACTAAACTTTTCTGAAGCTATTTTAAAATTTAAACCAGTAAGTTTTGCCAGAACATGTTAATATTTCCATGCAGCCCTTTGCAAGTTTTAATTAAGTTCATTTACGTGTAAAAAATTTAGTTAAGTCAGTTATACTTTGAACCCTCTACTGACACTTTTCTTTTGGATGGCAACATGTGAATACAGAATAGTTGTCTAATGTCATTTAATTCAAATCAAACGGAAAACATATGGGATGACTGCAGAAGCTTGGAATTATTATTACATTTGTATTTTGATCATATAATTTAATATGGAATGCAGATCTATGAGCAAACTTTTATATACATATTACTTGAATCTTAGGGTTTTTTTGAACAATCTACTGATGCAAAAGTCCTCATATCTTGTTGATTTTGCAGCTACACCGTCACTTTATAACCTTGGCAAGTATTCGTAGAATGTCCTCTTTGTTTCACAGTATCCATTTATCACTTGGAATATTTTATTCCTAATAGTTCAGTTTTGGCACTTCTGCAGGATTAAGTTTTTCCTATTACTGCTCTTCAAGGATTATAATTAGGGTTATTAAGCAGTTTTTTTTTTTTCCTAACTAATGTCTGAAGATTTAGCATGCAATGAAAGCTTTGGGATTTCATAATCTGCTGGAGGACAGAGATGTGACAGATGAGGGAGCAGGTGGGGGCAGTCACTGGTCACTTCCTGACCTGGGTGGTAGTTATGTGTTAGCTTTATAATTATCCATTCAACCGCTTTATCCCCATTTCTGTATGTATGTTGTTTCACCAAGATTCATGTTGTTTCATCTGGCATGTTATTAATGAGTCTAGCGGTTTTTAAAAGTGGCACCTCTTCTGTATCCTTTGTTCATGTTTATGAAGAGTGATACATGAATGGTCCTGCAAATGAATGTGAGGCATTCTGCTTCAATTATAGTTTTGCAACCTTTTAAATAGTTTTTCTGAGCTCAGTCCGATACTTTTAGAACCAATTTCAACAAAACAAAAAACTGTGCCTATTACTTCGTGCTTTGTAGAGGATAAACTCAAACCCCTCTTTTTTTTATGTTTTAATGTTTTAAATGAGAACTTTTATTTATTTATATGTTATGTTATGTTATGTCACCATACAGTATTTCATCAGTTTTGGTAAGGCTTTACTTCATAAATACCGCACACAAAAGATTTAGGATGAGGAAGAAAAGGAGAATTGGGACAAAAGATCTAAATCTGAAATAATCCGAGTGACAAATACCTTACTAGTAACCAACTTTTTTCTTTTTTGAGCTAGTTTACTGATTTTCAAGCTTTAATAAAAAATTTGTCTAAAAGGTGGAAAAATTAGTATCTGTAAAAACTAAATCTATTTAAATACAAAGTACTCAAAGAGGTGGGGTGGGGGGGAAGGAGGCTTTTACAGCCCCAGAAAAATGACTTTTCAAAATATATTTTTTCTAAGTTACTTAACAATTTCATGATGCATTGAACATGGAACATGGTGAAATTCACAAACATAAAACTTTTGTGCCAAAATAATGATAACTGAAGTTAGAGTTTATAGAAAGAACTATATAGCATTCAGATGGAATTTTAATTGTAAATTTTGGAATAACAAAGGGTTACTTTTTTAATACAACCATTAATACTTTATGGCATGTTCTTGTAACCACTTATTGGCCTGACAGCTGCAACTTTATACCTTTATGTGATTGTATGATTTCATGTGCTTGTATATTATAAGTCATTCTCAAATTATCCTTGTGTAGTCTCTGAGGCAGTGATGACTTTTGGCTTAGATAGCAATGAACTGTCTAGGGATAACATAAAATTGGCAATAAAGCAATGACTCTAGCCTAGGTAACCTATTTCCAGTTCAAAAATGGAACAAGCTACGGTATGAAACTGATTTTATGCTCTGCTTCTGTACACTAATATCCAATTTATGTTCAGGGTCAAAAAGTAAGTCAATGGTTTTTCAAACTTTTGTTCCTGATAAAAAACTTTCCAAAAATGCAGGGCCAAAAAGCCTTAAACAGTGTAACTTGAGATTACATAATCAAGAGACACTTGTGTAACTTACAAAAATTTGAAATACTGGGCGCCTGGGTGGCTCAGTTGGTTAGGCGACTGCCTTCGGCTCAGGTCATGATCCTGGAGTCCCGGGATCGAGTCCCCCATCGGGCTCCCTGCTCAGCAGGGAGTCTGCTTCTCCCTCTG